TATTTAAAGCCATAGGATTCAATGAGATCACCAAGGAAGTAAATTTAGAGAAGAGGGCACACTAAAATGAAGAGATCAGGGAGAAAAGGAAGAACCAGCGAGGGGAAGATAGGATGGAAACCACGAGAGTGCAGTGCCCTGATAGCTAACGGAAGAATGTGTGAAGCAGGGACTTAGGTGAATTGCCTAACTTCACTTTCTGCGTCAGCTAAATGGGAATATTAATTCTTCATGTGAGGTTACAGTGAGAATTACAAATAAGTTAACCCATTTAATAAATACATACTAAGTGTAGTCATTTTACTAGGTACTTGAATTTGAATCGCATATAATTCTTTACCTCAAGTAGAAGGTTACAAATTTGCAGAACACCTAGCCCAGTGCCTGACCCCACAAGGGGCCCAATAGATACTCTTTCTCTAGAATTACAATTGCCTCTGTGTGGCCTATGTGGATGCACACTCTCCTCTGCTTCTTGAGACCAATTAAAATATTTAGTGCTCATTAGTTGGAATAGATAAGCAGGGGAATCTTTGCTTTCCCCACCACTCCAACCATTTCAGTCTAATGCTCTGTTGCTCCATAGAATGTGTGGATTTCTTCCTTGGTTAGGGAATATGAAGGGTCCACTTGGGGACTCAGTAACAAGGCTTACCTGGGCTAATCTGAGAGCATTCAGGGCCTGAGGCCACCCTGGGGAAGCCAGCAGCCCAACCACACCACTTACACAACTCAGTCCCAGCTCTCCCAGAGTTGAGGTGAAATAAGGCAAAGGGCAGTTTCCAGAAGGGGAAAGAAATCAAAGAAGGCAGGCAGCCTCAAGTATGCAGCCTGGAGGCCAGGCCCACTGCTTTCTCTGTGGCCCATGGACAGAGAGATTTTAGAGCACACATTGCATATGTGTTCCCAGCGTGCGCACATGGGTTTATGTAAGTAGGTAAGACTTACTGTCTTATTTTCCCACAAGCCAAGCAGACACCTCCTTCACCTGGTTCACTTCAAGTCTTCCAGCTGCCCAGCGCTTGGAACAGTGCCTCCTCCTCCCTTCCCCACTTTTTCTCCAATCCCCCAGTCCACAGGCTAGATCTCACACCAGCTCCAGGAGCCAGGTAACCAAGGTAACCAAAAGCCCCTGGAGCCCAGGGGGCCTCCCTAAGGACCGCCCAAAGGCCACAGGCTCCATTCAGTCTGTGGAGCCGCTCTCCCTGCTGTGCTCTCTCTCCCTGGCCATTGCCCTGCCCATCTGGGGCGCTGCTGAGGGAGGCTCCTTGGGCCTTACTGTTTTCTTCATGACTATGGGTGACATTGCACAGGCAGTCCAGTTTTTCTCACAGTGCCTTTGCTTTGATCTTCAGAAATCTGCTGAGTTTCTTTTGGGCCTTGTCATGTTAACAAAAACAAATGTAATAATATGCACTTGAAAAGGCTCGCATGTCTTGATATTTTAATAAGCTTTTGATTCTACAGGGACCTCTGAGGCTTTAAAAGTTTAAAGTTAATAAAGAGAGTAAAAGAAAAAAATATGAATTGTTTTTAATTATTATTATGCAGGATTAACCAAGCCAGTGGTGTATAATTAGACAGTAGCTACCTTGCAACATAGAGGCAGTAAATAGGCCCACGGCGGGGGGGTTGGCTGCCAGAAGGCTGAGGTGTTTACAAGGCACTGGAGATGTTTTCACCAAGCACATAATCCCCGTTGCAGTTACTGTTGCTTTTATAATGGATGTGTTCATTACAACCAGAGACTAATATGTGTATCCATCATCTTTCTAGCACAGATGACTCCGAAGTGGGGGATGGCAGTGGAGATTGTACCATACATTTTGGTGGTCAAATTATTAAGAGAGCCCATTTATATGCAGCTTTTTTTGTGTCTGTATGGTTTTATTTTTGTTGCCATTGCTGGGAGGAATTTTAAGATGAAGTTAAATAAACAATTGCCAAAGGAGTGATGATTAAGATATTGCTAAGAAAGTTTTGTTTCTTTTAATACCTCCAGCAGTGAAAGCAATGAGCCAGGAGTTCTAGGGCTTTGTTATGAACCAGCCTGTGATCCCAGGGAATTCATTCGTTAATTCAACCTTTATTGAGTGCTGCCATATGCCAGGCATTGTCGTAGGTTCTGGGGACAAAATGATATGCAAGAAAGACTGGGCGCTTCTTCCCGGATGTTCTCAAACCAGGACATTCCTCATGATCACGTGGGAAGCTTTTCAAACTGCTCTCACTGAGACCCCAGCCCAGCCTTAGTAGAGCTGCATTGCATCTTCAGGGTACCCACTTGAGCATGTGAATTTTGAGAAAGTGTTTCAGTGATTCTGGTGGTTTCTCACTGGAGTGGGAGAGAGTTATAATTAAACAATAAAATATGATAAGTGCTATGAAAGGGAAGATGTGACTGCACTGAGCTTCCATTTCTCTACTTTTGTAAAGGGGGTAATAATTCCTGTCCTATATATCCATCTTAGGTCACAGATTCTGAAAAAGGAGAGTATAGAAAATTTACTAGGGAGTGCTCTCAGATAAGACATTGTTGGGGGTGAAATGGGCCAGTCATTGGCTGCCCCCAGGAGAAGATGTGACTTGGGTAAGTAGCCGTTACCAACCTTAGGCCCATTCCTGGAGAGTGGGTCAGATGATAGCTGCAGGTCACCGCCTCCACCCAACTTTCAGAAGCTGGGAATGAGGACGGAAATGAGGGCCTCTGTCCTGAAGGAGGAGGGTGCGGGTGGCGTGTCGCAGCGCTACCAGGGCATCCTGCAGAAACAGATAGAAGAATTCACATTGAGAAGTACTGTTAAAGATTAGTCACTCATTTTCTATTATTAACCTATAAATAAATTTGCTCATGACAATGGTTTTTGCATAAATGGCTTTATTCATATTTGATGTAAGAATAATCTGGCTACAACATCTGTCACTCCATGCTTACCAGTATTGATTGGGCTCAGCTTGCTGGCTGGGCTAGAATCCTATTTTTGCCCCAAAGCTCCTTGTATGTCACCTCCCAAACCTGCACACTTGAGCTGAGAGGGCACATTTCCAGGGAGAGAATATCTGATTTTTGATAAGAGACATAGGGAGGCCACCACTCCTACTACACACTTGAAACAAGTTGGCAGTTTCCGCTTGTCATCGAACTGCAACTACTAAGAATGTGGTCATTCTTTTATTTACATTTGCTCAGTATTTTTTTGACTATCCTACTCAAAGTTGAGTTGCAGGAGCTGTGCCATCTCTTCCTCCTCTAAACTCTGTGGAGTAGGGAAGAAATAGGTGGATTTTACACAGTGGCAAAAGGGGTGCAAGTGAGAAGATACTACCTGGGTGAAGGAAAACATAATTGAAAATGGGTAAAACATTGGGGTCCTCCTCCATTGTCTTGGCTGTATACAGATTACACTTCATCCTCAAATCATGTTTATCCACGTTCCTGATTTTGTTAAACAATCGAGATGAGAAGCACCAATTAGGTTTTTCATTTTACATTTATGTAAAGAGCTGTCTCTCATCAAGCTGCTCCATCTCTCGGCATGTTCAAGAATAGTTTAAACAACAAGAAATGCTCCATACAGCTTCACTGGAGCCTGTAACTTTCTGTTCTGGGAATTGAAAGCAGCAAACCAGTTTTTAGGGGGATAATAGGCTAAAACACAAATAGTTAGAGCCAGAGGTCAATACTTGGAACTCAAGAATGCTGGTAATGAGCCCAGATGGCAGGTTGGAAATGGGTTTTCAATATAATCACCTGACAAACATGAATTTTAGGACTTTGAGCTTCAACCACAGGCCATGGTATTAGACAGACATGTGAATAGGTATACGTCTAACTACTATTTGTATATTTCTATAATATTCTTCCCTGTGGGGCCATCAGGATGATCTACCAGGCCTGGGAATCGAACTACTTTTGGAACCTGAAAAGGGGCTTATGGCAGCTACCAGGATTTGGGAAGTAGGAAGAATGAATAATGACAAAACAGTTTAAGAAAAGATAAAAGAAGTACTTTGGACCAGAATTGGCTGGAAGGAATGTTAACGGCCTACCTTCATGGTGTTGTACAGAAAATGAATACTGAGAAGCCACAGAGAGCTCATCCCCCTGATATAACTGTGAGGCATAATAGGAGGAATTTATAAAGAAAAACTTGGGACAGGCATTAGGGAACAGACAGAACTTCCATATTCCCAGAAGAAGGTGAGCACATTGAAGGCATTTAAAAACTGAGGTTGAATTAAACTCTAGGAAATATTTTCTATTGTCGGCAACAATTCTATGCCAGCCCAGTGGGACAGAGTACATCATCTAACAAGACATTTTCATTTCTAATTTCTTTAACTCCACGGAAAAATCCTTCCTGAATTCTCCACAACTCTCTGTGGTGTTTACTAAGTGAAATAACTTAGTGCCCTCCACAGCCTTCACTAACTTAGTATCCACTCGCTCTTCCAAATCAATAATAAACACATTAAATACCACTGGTCCCCAAACAGACCCCAAATGCACCACACTATTAACCTCTCTCCACACTCCAGGAGACCAACAGTCACTCTGTCTCCCGCGGCTCGGCTGGCTTTATAAAAATCTCCAGCCTTTGACTGCTCCTGCCCAGCTGAAAGAAGAGTCTAACTCCGCTTCTGCTCTTTCCTGGTCAGCGCTGCAGGGCTCTCTGGAGGGGGCCTGCACCCCTGGGGCAGCGGCTGCAGGTAACACCAGTCCATCTGATGGGAGGCCTAAGAGTTTCAGCAAAGAAGGAAAGCAAGGTGGAAAGAAGTTTATTGTTCTTGCTGAAAACCCAATTGCACTGCCATTTTTCAATTCCATTGAGAAATGTCAATGTTCTTTCCCACCGTCTGTCGGAGGCAGATTTGACCAGGTGTCTCCACACAGAGTGGGTTCTCACAGTTGGGCTGCGTGTGTGTCATAAAGCTAAATAAGGAGCCAGTTCAGTCCGCCACCCCCCTTTGCTTCTGCCGGCCAGACACACTTCCCCATATGACAGTCTTATAAATAGCTGCTAAGCAGCTGGTCCTCCTCTCACCTCCTGACTCTGTCAGAATCCCCCACCAGAAGCCCCTGACAGTCATGCAGCTGGGAGCTCCCCCTTTCTCTTCTTTTCTCCTCTCCACTCTCTACCTCTGACATGTGGCCGCCATCTCAACAATGTCCACTGAAACCAGCCAAGGACTGACTTCCATGGGAGAAGGGGTCAAGCAGGCTGAGAGCTGGATCTGACCACTGAAGCAAGCTGTCACCCAAGTAAACGGCGATGGAAGGTTGGGAGACACCGCAGTGATACACCAGGCAGCCCACAGTACAGTGGCCAGATGGCTGACCCAGCAAAAATCCCGGGAATCTTTCTGGAGTGAGTCAAACATTATAAATATCTGTGGGACTCCGCGATGCTTCTATCTATATATGTACATATTCGAAAATAGTTTTAGACAAATAAATATAGTATAAAATGTATTATTATTAACATTTACAAAGTTCCAACAATGTGTTCAGAGTTCAAATGAGGGTAAGATTTAGGATAAAGAAAATACAAGAACGGATTAAAGATTTGGAAGCCAACACGTGATAAGGAGGTAATAAAACAGAGATGATGCTTTCTTTCTAAATATTGTTGCTTTTTATGAAAAAGGAGGCTCCAGCTGACAGGAGATTGGAGCTGATCAGAGATAGTCGAGTCAATTTCACAGGAACTTATTGAGTGCCTGCTATGTGCTAGGCACAGGGAATGTAGAGTTATCCCCAGCCTTGATCAGCCAGACAAATAGAAGGCCAGTAGATGTTGTAGAAGGTGGAAAAGTCAGTTTTGCTTTTGGGGTAGAGAGTCATGGAAGTCTGCAGAGAGGACACAGGACAATGTAGGCCGTAGGAATAGCAGGAGGTCAGGCAGGAAGATATCAAGTTCCCACAGGTCTAGGAAACAGTGAATGGGTCCACTGCGGCATAGCAGGCATAGTGTGGGAGGCAGGGGCCTGCTCAAGGGTGCTGGAGGGGCATGCAGCTGGGGGAAGAGGGCTTAGACATGAGAAAATGAAGCCATTGAACAAAGTGTGCAGTAACCACAAGCTAATGCCAAAATTTCCGATATTGATTGTCATCTGAAGAACTTACCGGCTTCCTGGGTCTCCTTAAGCAGGCTAATCTGAACATTTATTTTTATTTTATTTTATTTCTTTATTTATTGAGACAGAGTCTCACTCTGTCACCCAGGCTGGAGTGCAGTGGTGCTATCTCGGCTTACTGCAACCTCTGCCTCCCGGGTTCAAGCGATTCTTGCTCCTCAGCTTTCCAAGTAGCTGAGACTGCAGGCACCTGCCACCAGGCCTGGCTAATTTTTGTATTTTTAGTAGAAATGGGGCTTCACCATGTTAGCCAGGCTGGTCTCGAACTCTTGGCCTCAAGGGATCCACCCACCTCAGCCTCCCAAAGTGTTGGAATTACAGGTGTGAATGTTTAAATAGATCATAGTTTAAATCTTCTATCGAAGAGTCATCCTTGAACCATGGACCCCTCAAGCATTTCCCAATGTGCCCACACATTTCACAGGAAATGTATAGCTGTGGCTGCCACTTAGGCACCCTTCACAAAGTGTTCCAAAGCTCTGCCTTGGTAGTGCTGGACCAGAACCCCCACCTGAGTTAATACCACCACCTGGCTATTTCACAGGCAGGGCTGAAACCAGGGGGCAGGGAGGACACAGACCAGTAGAGACAGGGAGTAGTTTCCTTTGGGCAAAGATCAGGGCTTGAGTCCTGAGGCAGGGGAGGGGCAGCTTCGGTCCTTGAGGATTTAGTGGGGCCCAGCAGGGACTAGGGAGACAGGGATGGACAGAAGCTGAGTATGCTTTCTTCTGAGGTCAGCCAAGTTGTCACACTCTCAGGGACACCTTTCCTGGCCCTTTATTATATATTCTCATAGCACTGTGAACCTTTTCTGCACACCACCATTGTCATTGTATGGTTATTAATTGACATCTGTTCTCTTCTCCTAGAGCACAATGGCTTTGCTCTCTGTTGAATCCCCTGTTTCCAGCACCCTGCCGGGCACACACTAGACACTCAGGAAATAACTGTTTCTTGAAGGATTATAAGAGCTAATATTTATTGAGAATTTTGTATTCTACCATTTAATCCTCAACAACCACTTGTGAAATAAATAATATTAATTAATCTCATTTTACAGATGAGTAAGTGGAGACTCAAAGGATTAAGTGACTTGCCAAATGCTAATGAGTGGTGGAGTGGGGCTTGAACTCTGGTAATCTGACTCTTGAGTCTGGGAGAGGCCATGTGGCAGGTCTGGTGGCAGAAGAGGAACCAGAGTGGCCCAGAACAAGGGAGGCAGAGAAAGTGGTGGCTCTGGGGGCAGGGATGTGGGGAGATCCTTTCTCCCATTTAGGCTTACGGAAACCAGATTTCTGGCATCGCCATGAGATCGCCTCCACTTCAGCTGTTCAGGGAGTATTTTAGCGGGTGAATGAGGCTGGACATCCTTAACAGATGCTGCCCACCCACTTGGACTGATCTTCCAGCCACTCACTGCTGAGCTGAAGCTATTGAAAGTTTCCTCAGGCATCCCCTCCACAGCAGGGCCTTCCAGCAACCCTGCAGTCTTCCTGGCCACTGCCTTGACCTAGGCCCTGTTCTCAGGAGCTTCTCCACAACAGGCAAGAGGCCAGGTGCTGGGAGTTCAAGGTAACCTAGTTCCTAGGAAATCAAGGTGATGAGAGTAACTAAGGCTGTCTCCATACACTTAAGTTGGAAGTGTCCCAAAACGCTTCAGGGCCTTGAGGATTCAAATGGTCCTCAGCAAGTCTGATTCTTTCTCCATAGCAAAGCTATTCTGTTACTCTTAAGTCTTAATTTGACGCCAGATGGACAGTCATTTGTAATGTTCCGAAAATGGTGCTGGCTTCCTCGGTGTGGCTTTCTAAAATGAACTGAACTTCAGCCTGTGCTAAGCACTCTACATGCACTCATTTCATCCTCACGGTTTTACAGACAAATCAACCAAGGCTCAGAGGGGTGAAGGTGCTTACTCGATGACAGGGAGTGAATGGCGAAGCTGGAATGACAGCCCAGGTCTTTCTTAATATAGAGTCAAAGATCCTGGCAACCAGGCTATCCCGGGGTAATGGGCCATTATGGCTGCCAGGATACTATATGCATAATTTTTGTAATGTTGGCATTGATAATAAGATTTTTGAACAGTCAAAGCTATCACCTGAAATATCGTGAGGCATTAATTTGAAGATTTCTTTCTTAATTGACAATTTGATTGTTTAATGGCCTTACTATTTTTTTTTAGAAAATGAGACTCAGACGGCAAATCCCATCTTGGTCTGCAACACTAATTCTAGGAGACCTCATCGTTACTTCTTAGAGCAAAATGCAAGGGCAAAAATGGGAAGTAACACTGTCTGAATGGTATCATTTGGGATTTTTTTTTTTTTGGTGCTTATAACTGAGCAACAGCTTTTGTCTAAAAAATTAAATGTGACAAGAAATTAATCCACATTGTGATCTAATTATTTTTAGAATTATGAGAAAAATGTAATATGTCTCAAGTATTTAATTTTGAAAAGTGTCTATGGAAATTAACTTTCACTACCTTTCATAAGGATTTTAGTTGTCTTGCCATCCTTAAATGGCATTTTCAACAATCACCAATATTGCTATTGCTGTCACATAAGGTCACTAGCCTGTGAGGTAGTTTTTGCAAAGCCTGACTTTAAAGAACATGTGACATGTCATAGTCTATACTACTCTAAAGTGTATATCAAATTTATGAATTAGAATACAAAGAACCAACCAGTTTCTTAATTTCCTTTACATCTCTGAAGAATCAGCTGTTAAGCAGGAAGGAACACCAAACACAGTGAGGTTTCTCGTGATACATTAAAACCAAATATCACTCTGACCCTTAAAAATGAGATTAGAATAAGACCAGAAATAATGGAAAAGTGGTTAACGGTAGTGGAATTAGTTAACTGAATGAAAAATATTTGAATGGGGAAAAATGAGTTCACAACTGTGACATTTTTACAATAAAAGCTTTGACTATGCTAAGGTCCACCCACCAGTCCCCCATGTTCAGGCTATAGTAACTTGAATTTTGAGTACTGAAGTTGATCTTCTGGGAAAAGGCATTGGATCTAAAAGGCACTGATCAAATTCAGGAATATCATCCGGAAAGGAACCTGCTTAAGTCTTCCACTCTTAGGAAAGGAAGGGATATTTATTATGGAGAGAGCAAGTTGTAAGTGAACTGCAAACTTGGCACCAAAAGTAGCAGAAATTCTACTGTGGGGTAAGAATGAGGGGAAAGTAAAGGGGAAGGAAGAAAGCATGCGGCCTTAGCAAGAGGGGGTGCCACCGTGAGTTGCCAGTGGAAAGCTTTGGATTCCCAGTGCTGTGAAAGGCAAGGAAGGAGCTCCAGAAATGGAGGTGGGGAAAGCCAGGAGATGCTCAGTTTTCTTTACCTGGCAATTCTGTGGACCCCCATCACTCTAGATCCTAAGTTCAATGGGAGCACATGGCTATTTGTAATTCTAAAACATCCATTCTCCTGAACAACACCCTTAAGCCCTAGGGAAACACTTGTTCACATGCCTTGCCTTAAGTCCTCAAAACAAATGGTGATTACATCTAAATGGCATGAAACTGTGTGGGGTGTCAACTACTAAGGTGGGAGATGGAAGGGATGGACTCTGCCTCATAATACAGGGAGGATTTCATCAGCAGAAGTGCTTAGGTAAGAGCAAGGACAAATTAATTAACTTGTCATATTCTTCCTCTCACAAAGCATGAATGCTATGGATTCTTGCGTAACAAAGCACCATTTCCCTGTGGTGCCAAATGTCCATTTACTTGCTTCTCTTCTTTCTCCAATTGGAGATCCCAAAGGTACACAACATAGTAACATGACAGTCACAACAGTTACACATAGCTGCTAATGAAAATCACTCTGAAGTATGTATCTATACATAGGTCTGTATGCAACACGAGTGAAGCATGATACTGATTCTCTAACAGACAGCTAGATAGACGTTTGCAGCTAGAGCTGCAGGGTTTTTAAAAATAAAAATGTACATAGTTACAAAATGAAATATCTGGCCTTTATTTGAATGTTATTTATTTTAAAATTTGATATTTATTAATTATAACTTATATTTTGCCTTTTAAGGTATCATTTTGAACATTTCAACAGAAAATTGTTCTCATTGTGATAAAAAACACATAGCATAA